GATTAATAAAGTATTCTGATTCTGATTGTTTCAGGATGACCTGCCATTATCCAATCACACATCTGCTTACCTGTATCTTTTGCTCGTTTCTCCTCCTCTTCTTTTCTCTTTTTTCTAAACTGAGCACCTGATGGCTTTGAACTTTTCTTGTCCATCTTGGTTTTAATTTGCACTCCAGTATGAACACAAATCCCCCAACCACAACATAACCTAATAGTTCCTATTAGTTCACAGATTCACTTTGTCTAAGGTTTATTTCTGGGATTTCGCATAACTCAGGATTCAAATCATGAACACATAATGGACTTGTACTTACAACATTATGAATCAAATGTGCTCTATTTGGAAGCAGCCGGTCCCTCCCCTTTCGACGGGTTGTGTGAGACTTTAAATCCTCAAACTGTAAAATATAAATTTTAAATTTTTATTGATCCCTTTACCCCGAGTCCTAAAGTGTATATTTATTTTCTTACTCTTCTTATATTTATTGTTTGTTTACTTGCACTGCTGTAACTGGAGCCTCGTCTCTCTATATTCTGCACTGTATGTAGCGGAGATGACACTAAGAAACATCTCTAAACTGCAACATGTGGTTTCCTCAGCTGAACTGGAAAAACTCATTCATGCATTTGTGTCATCACGCATAGATTACTGTAATTCCCTGTTTACTATTTTGGATAAATCATCTCTATCGCCTCCAGGCAATACAAAAGCAGCCAGACTACTAACTCGTTCTAGCATGCATGCTCACATTACTCCATTCTTATATTATTTACATTGGCTCCCAATAGAGTTTTGAATTCGCTTTAAAATTCTTGTTTTAACATACAGAGCACTAAATGGCCAGGCCCCAGATTATTTATCCAAGCTTTTTATAAAATACACTGCTGCTGCTGCTCATCATCTCCGCTCACAGACTCAGAGTCTGCTGGTTGTTCCCCGTACACGACTGAAGACAAAAGGGGCCTTTCAGTCTGTTGCACCAAGTCTGTGGAATAGTTTACCTCTACAATTACGTTTTAATATTTGTGTACAGTGCTTTGTGACTGCCTTTCTGTGAAAAGCGCTTAATAAATAAACTTTACTTACTTACTTACTTACATTGCTTTGGTATCTTATAATCTCGTGTTTTTCTATTTCTCTTACATTTTACTTCCTAATAAAATATGAGAATGTTCAAAATATCAACATTTAGAATGATATCACAGTTAATTTCTAGATGCAACACACTGCTGTGTCACTGGTGATCAGTGGCGGTCCTAGCCTGTTAGGCACCCTGGGCGAACACCCCC